CAACCTGTGGAGTAGTTTCCTCACTCAGGAAGTGTTGCATCTCCTTGTTGGTCCAGCTTTCAACTAAAGGCATGCGTCTGTCTCAGCTACCACCATGCCTGTGAACAGAACAGGGTCTCCCTCAGGAGAGATGGCCCACACTCAGTCATTGGCGCATTCACATCTCACAGCACTAACCAACCAGAGGTGAACTTCCTGCCACCTCTGTAAGGGAAGCTAGTGACGCTGAAACTCTCTCCCATCTCCATCACTCAAGAGTGCTATGACCTGGGCAAGTTTTTGAATCAGAGAATGAAAGAGCTTTTGTCAAGGGATTTGGCCCCTTTAGTTGGTATCTTAATTTGTTCAGGGGTGCTATAACCATATAGCATAGGCTAGATGGCTTATAAATTTCATTTATTTCTCAGTTCTGGAGGCTGAAAGTCCAAGATTAGAGTTCCAGTATGGTCTGGTGTGAGCCCTTTTCTGGGTCATAGACCTTGTTTCATCCTCACATAGCAGAAAGGGAAACAAGGGATCTATCAGAACCCTCTTTTATAAGGGCATTAATTCCATTCATAAGGGCTCTGGTCGCATTACCTAATAACTTCCCAAAGGCCCACCTTCTAATGCTAACACCTAGAGTGGTGGGTGGAGGGGTTATTTCTTCATATGACTTTTAGAAGGATACAAACGTTGAGAGCATAGCAATTGAGAATTACCAACACTGAGTTTAATTCTGGGCTGTGAGTTAATCCGGAAGAGCCTCTACTAGTGGTTAAAGAATGCACTCTAGTCCCTGAGCCACTGCAAGGCCAGGGAATTTACACAGCTTGGTTTGATACGTGATCTGCCAAGGCCAGCTTCTTCTTTGACCTGTGTCACAATTCATGAGTTTATGTTAGATTGGATTCTTTGCTGTCACAACGCTGGTAGGTATTCGGGGTCTCTGGGTACTTAAATGGTGAAAGGATTAGAACATTAGGGAAACAGGTAAGAGTTTGTATCTCAATTGTCTGCCAGCAGCTGGTGGAAGCTTTGGTGTTCTACGCAGGGCACTTGGAGTTACATTCTCTGCATCTCAAAAATGTGTCAAGAGGTATACCAGTTAAACTCCTTAAAGCCAGATACAATATTGTGAATGGAATGACAATTTACTTAATGAAGAAATTATTGCTGCATTTTATATTACTGCCTATAAATGTACTAGGGATCCAAAGACTGGAGCAATCAGGATGTAATACAATAGCCATAAAGAATGTAGACTTGACATGGGACATTCAAGCATAGTGTAGTGGGTAATTGAACTTTTGTTCCTGAATTTATTTTATTTGTTTGTTTCTTTTAGCTATTTAGAATCTGAAAACCCTTCTGGTTTTGGAGGAACACCATAGTGAGTGTCTTGTGCCCCACTTCCCATTAAGAAAGCCAAAGGGACTGATTTCCACTTCAAGGAAGCTAAGAAGATAGAAACATATAACCTAGGCATAGCTAAGCAGATTACTTCAGCCCAAAATTTGAATCTTGAAGAAATGAGGCAAACAATGCAAACAGAATTGAGAAATTCTGGTGGTATCAACAACTTTGAGAGTTCAGTACATCCCGGAAAGGAACAGTACCCTAATCTGGAATGTTGTATGAGGCTATGTTCCCAATGCCCAGCCCTTCTAGGTTCCTGTCCATTGTCACTTCCTAAAGGACTAGCCTTCACCTTTGTGCTTTTCTCTATACCTTTTCACAGAAAGTCTATCTGTGTTTTAGTTTGCCATATTCAGTTTCTATTTCTGTAAAAAAAAAAAAATAACTGACTAGTGGGAGTGAAGAGGATGTGGACAGGAACTGAGAAGAGACCTCAGGTGAGTGGAGATACAATGGCATGATTTATCTAGAAGACTCTAATAAAATGTCCAGGACTGCAGGGGGAAAAAAAGACTTGAAATACAGCTTGTCCTCTGTATCTGCAGGTTCCACATGGGCAAATTCAACCAACCTCGGTGGAAAATATTTTTTAAAAACAATTAAAATTCTAGAAAGTTCTAGAAAGCAAAACTTGAATTTGCCACACTCTGGCAACTATTTTCATAGCACTTACATTGTATTTACAACTATTTATACAACATTTACATTGAATTAAGTATAAGTAATCCAGACATGATTTAAAGTGTAAGGGATGGTGTTCGTGAGTTATTTGCAAATGATACTATGGCATTTTATATAAAGGACTTGATCATCCATGGATTTTGGTGAGGGGTGGGGGGCTGGAACCAATCTCCTGCAGATACCCAGGGACAAATGTATTCAGGAGACAGACAGTAAGGACAGTTCTAGGACTAGAACAAACTACGTTTCAGGAAGTAGGGTTAAATAACAATGACTAAGTAACCTCCTAGTTTTTTATTGTTTTATCATTCCCAACAATTGCTTGACTCAGCTACCCCTAGGCAAGTATCAACTTGTAGTCTCAGAAAACCCTTCTTCCTGGAATACACAGGCCTGGGTTAAAATTCTGTCTCTCATGACCAAAAGGACAGTGATGTCTCCACCTTTTTCCAAATCTCCCATTACTGCAAGAGAAGAAAAGAACTAGAAAGACATGCACTAGGCTATAAAACAAAATTACAAGACGCAGAGCTGGGTGAGAACACCAGTGCATGGAAGACTCACAAGGGCTTATTTATATAGACCACTGATGAGATTGTCCAAACCTAGTCCTCAACTCATAGGTGGATGTCACAGATGTGCAGTTTCCCAATCTGTCCACAAGCCATAGTGGCATATGCTGTGGTCTTCAATCACCTCCCAGGATAACTGCTGGAAACCCAGTTTCCTGAAGACCCTTTATATAATAGTGTGTTGTGGTGAAGTGAAATCAATTAGCTAGGGAAGAGCTTTTCATCCAGGGTGCCACTAATGTGCTACAGGTATGCCAAGCTATCAGTCTCCTTAATCCTAGGATTTACCATGTAGGGTCTGGGATAGTCAGAGGCACAGATCCATCATGTTCACTGCAAGTAGGATGTTTGCTTCAATGTTTTATGAAAATATTATTGTTTGACAAAATGTGAACAAGGATGGGAAGCACTGGGCAGAACCAACCCTCACTAGCCCCTCTAAACTAAGAACTCTGGGAGAATCTGGTGACACATTCCAGTCAGTATCTACATAGGCCTCAGCAGACCTCTGTCAATTCCATTCCAATTAAATCCAAATAGGTTTTTTTTTTTTAATGGATCTTAGCTGGCTCATCTTAAAGTTTACATGAAAAAGCAAAGAGCCAAGAATAGCTAAGGCAATTTTAGAGAAGAATCATCATGAAAAAGGGCTTGCACAATGTTTGGATACATAGAGTTGAGTGCATGGGTGTTCATTATGTTATTATGGTATTATCTGTACTTTTCTGCATCTAAAACACGTCAAAATTAAACTTTAAAACTTTTAGAAGAAAATAAAAGAGAATAGCTTATAGTCTCTGGTTGGGAAGACTTATAAATAAGAAAGAAAAAAGCACAAATTTATAATCTAAAAAATATATTAAATTCAACTAATGGTACTTTAAAATATATAGCTTTTGGTCATCAAAAGACAGTATAAAATGTAAAAAGACAACTGACAAACTAAGAGAAGTCATTTATAACCCATATGAATGACAAGAGAAAAGTATTTGAACTCTAAAAATATATAAAGATTTAAAAAATAAAATTCTAAAAAACATAAAAAAATAAAATTCTAAATATATATATAGACAAGATTATCTACAAATTAATTTTCAGGAATGATCAAGCCAATAAAAAATAAGCCAAAACTAAGAACAGACATCCCACAGAAACCTTAATAGCCACTAAGCATATAAATATGCATAACTCTATTAGCGAGGTAGGGAGGGGATGCAAACTGAAACAGCAATCAGATGCTACCACCAAGCAAACATTTAAAAATCTAACGAGTGTTATAATGATGTGCCAGCCTAATCCATATGAAATAGATTTGTGTATAGAGGAATCTCAAAATGTGAATGTGTAGTGAAAAAAGAAGTTAAGAGGAAAAAATTCAGTATAACTCATTATATAAAATACAATAACAGGATAACTATGTTTTAGAGAATTATACATATATATAACTATTTTCAAAAAAGCAAGGAAATGAGTAATATAAAATTTAGCATTATGATTATTTGTGACTGCGAGGGAAACATTTTAAAAGAGGTCTTCTTAGAAGGCTTCAATAATGCTATTTTTCGGTGTCTTCAGCTTTGTAGTGGGTACTTGGTATTCTTTTTACCATTATCCTTTAAAATGTGCACATCTGGGATACATTCATATATGTATATTTTACAATTAAAATTTGTTTAAGAAACCCAGTGAGATTTTTAAGGAGAGCCCATCACTCTTATTCACAAAAGCAACTTCTAGGCTGTGAGTCAGGATTTCCTTGTTACTATGTAACCAAACAAAATACAGAATTCTCTTGGCCCTGAGGCTGATGTAAGGTGAAAGTCTTCAGCTGTAACCTCTATCTCAAAAGTTCTTGTTCTTCACAGCTGCCTCATTGTTCTCAATTATTTCTATAAGTACTTCAACAGGAATGTGATTTTATAAATTTGCAAATTTAAAATGTCATCTTTGTCTACTTTTAGCTTCCAAGTTGCATTTTTTTTAAAAATAGGCAAACAGTTCCTTAATTTTAAAAGTTTGAAAACTGCCAGTGTACTCGAGTTAAAAGCAACTTTTGAACGCTTCACATCAAAAACAGCTGTCCTCTATGAGTGAAAGCTTCCCATCCCAGCGGATCTTAAAGACCAGTTTCTAAGAGAGGAAGGGTCCTCCCCAGTTGGGGAAAGAGGATGGGAATCCAGCGCAATTCTACTTCGCCCCTTTGCTCCTCTCTTAACTGGACGCCCAGAAAAAAGAAAAAAAGCTGCCCCGTCTTTCACCCACACCCCTCCCGTCCCTCACCGGCAAGGAGGAGGCTGCCACTGGGAGGCCATAGCCCCGCCCACTCGCGACCTTCGCTCCGCCCAGGCCCCGCCCCCGGGGCTCCCGAGACGCTTTGCGCGCGCCCTTTGGGAGGCGGGGCTGTTTGAGCTCGAAGTGTTGCAGCCGTGGGCGCACTCTCCTCACGGCGTCAACATCTCCGGCGGCCGAGTCTGTGCTGTTGGTGGCCGGATTCCCAGACTCTGGTGAGTAGCTGGAGGATTCAGGGCCCTCCAGACGCGGTTGCGGCCGGCTCGGGGCGCATCCTCAGCGCCTGCGCGCTCACCCGCCAGTCAATCTGCTCGCCTGCCGGAGGGCCTTTGGCCCTGCGCCCCGGCGGCCGGTGGCGTCGAGCTGCTAGCCTTGGGGCCTCGGGACGCCCCACGCTGACACTCTTTCCCCTTATTTTGCCCTGGTTAGCTTTGCTGCGCTCTGTCCTGCTGTATCCCCTCCCTGCTGGCCTTGTCTCCGCCGCTTCTTTGGAGCAGAACTCCCGGTCGCGTCAGTTTTCCTTTCCCCAGCAAGTTGGGAATTTCGGGGAGTGACGGAAGCCTTTCAGCGCCCTGCACTTTTGTCCTCAAACTCGGCCTTGAGCCTTCGGGGCGAGTGGGAAGGTGGTGGCCTTCCGGGCTGGGGCTGCAGCAGGAAGGTAGCGGTCGCCGGTCTGCGGACTCTCGGGCGTCGGGAGAGGAGAGCGAGGATGGCGAGGCCTCGCAGAGAAATTACTTTCACCTGTTTTCACGTTCACCTGTTAACACTTTTGGCTCCATCATTCTGGACTGTTAGCCTTTGCTAAGTCTCAGGATGCAACCAGGCTGCAATAGTATCTTTCCCCATTACCAAAGGAGCAAAGTGAAATTTAGGCAGTTAGGATAGTTTGTTTTCATTTCATTATTGCAAGACCCTATGGGTAAGAGTTAAGGGAAAACGTGGAAGTGCTTAAAGAGGTAAAACAAGGGAGGATCCTGTTAGTTATATGACTTTAAAAAAAAAAGGTAAATAGTACTGGAATGGGTTGTTTATGGTACAGTATTTAGACAACCGTTTGAAGAAAAATATAAACAAATAAAATCTAGGTATTGGTAATATTAAGTTATTCTTTGCACAGCTTTTCATAACAGTGTTACTTCATTCAATATTGAGCTGTATGTAAACCTTGAAAAAATAGTTATTCAGTGAATCTTGTGGATTTTCAGACTCTGCGTGAAACATCACCAGAGTTGTTGCTGTTACTCATGAGTAGTAAGCGTATGGTAAGAAAGTAAGCTTTCTTAAGATTAAATTTGGACTACAGTTTATGGGTAGGTAGTAGATAGTCATTGTTTCTAAATTCTTAGTCTTTAAATGAAAACATGACCATATGTCAGCAATTTTCATGTGTCACAAAATTTGTGATCTTCTGTTCTGTGAACTTGGTTTGTCTTAAAATGTTGCGAAAGGTGGAGTAACGTGAGGGCAAGCGCTTGACCTCTGCTCTGCTCCTGGCTCGTTGCTTAACCTCAGACAGGTTACTTAGCCATTTATTAGCCCAGAGACTTGGAAAAAGTTACCAACTGCTCTGTGCCTTAGTTCCATCATCTGTAAAATGATGTTAAAGAGAATTTCTACTTCATAGGTTGATGCAAAGATTGAAAATGGAATGATGAGAATTAACTGAATTTCTGTTAACGAAAGGGTACAGGTGTTTACATTAATGCTGACTTGGGCAAGGAACCCTTGGAACAGAAACTGATTTTGAAAGTTCCAGGTGTGTCTTCTAGTATTAGTTATGTTTATCTTCAGTGGCTTCTTAGAAAATACTGGGAAAAGAGCTAGAAGAAGAAAAAAGCACCAGAAATCTATAGAATATAATAATAAATAATTAAAAAGGGAGATCTTTCTGGCTTTTCTGAGTAACAGGATCTCAGCAAATACTTTCTGAAATAATAATTGATATCGTACTGATCTAGAGCTCTTGTACCTCACTAGATCTTCATGTCAAAAACAAACATTTCAAAGATTAGAAGACCTTCAAGTCATAAAACACAAAACTAGTTTCAAAAGAACCTACTGTGTATTACTTCTGTGTATTATTATCCCATTCAAACTGCACTTTAAAGATACCAGATTGTTTTTTTGGAATTTTTTTCTCTCAGGTGACTTCTGAAACTTCATTTTGTTGAAACTGAATAAGTATACTCTACTCCTTTCCTGAACATCATTAGACCTGTTAGGATTCTCAAGTTTCATTGTTTTGCTAAGTTGGACACGATAAATTTTATTTAAATAGATTTTTTAAATTATTGAATTATCTATTTATGATTCTTCGTATATAATGTGTTCAGTATAAACTACAGACATGTCAAATGTATGTATAGTGAGTAGAATCTATACACATACTGCCCAATCAGATACCAATGTCAAAAAAAGGGCCTGAAATTAAAATTTTTTAAGCTGAACATTTAATGTTCCTTGACTAAATATAAGATTTGTTGGGTTCTACTGGAATATAAAGGTAAGGACTCCATTTCTGGACCTTATGAGCAATCTAGTAGAGGATATAATACATGTAAATAAATAGCATGATGTAATGCATAAAGAAATGTCAGTTTAAAAAAGTAGGTAATGCTATAACAATGGACTGTATGGGAAAGTGAGCACTTTGCACTCTGGAATCATTCATTAGAGGTGTGACGAAAGGGAGCATTTCAGCTTTGTCCTGAAAGATGAGAGTAGTATTTCAAAAGTTAGCTGTATGGGGAATAGATATGTAGAGAGAGAACACTGTGTGTTGGTTATTGATTGCTTGCCAGACATCCATCTTTACTAATAATCATCATCAGAATAAGTAATTGTTCACATTTATTCAGTGTTACACTAAGTCCAAAATGATTCTGTGAGTTTTATAATATTAACTTATTTCATTCTCACAAAAATCCTGTGAGTGAGGTAATAATAACTCATTGTAAATATGAGAAAAAGAAGTAGGGAAAGATCATGTCACCTGCGTAGGTGAACTAGCTAAAAAATGTCCCAGCTAGAATTTGATCTCAAGCATTTGAGCTGCAGAACCCATACTTCTAATCACAATGGTCTACTGCCTTTATTTAGGTTGAGATGACTTATTGTTCACTGAGATCAGGAGGTTGGGATAGAGCCAGTGGATCACCTATAATTAGGTGATAAACATTTTAAGTGAATGAATTGAGTAAGTAATGTAAAAGGAAAAGAGAGACCAACTTAAGAAAGTAGATTTACAGGCAAGAGGGCGAACAAAGGGCAGCTTTCATAAATACTGTGTATTTTGTGTTCATCTATAGCTCTGAGGAATGAATTTAACAAATATAAAAAGTCTCCACTCTTTGCTTCATGTATTTCTTCATTTTTCTTTTTTTAAAATCCAATTAGTATTTACATTTGATTAAAACATTGCTTTTACATTTTATTTCGTATACGTATCTTGCATGATTTACAGATCAACTTTGTCCAAAAATAGAAGTTAATTTTTTTAAGGTGATGTTAAAACTCAGTGTCACACAAGTAGGTCAGAATAGCTGGTTTGAACTTAGATCTTCCAATTCCAAGATCAGTATTGTTGCTATTATATATATCGACTCCTCCATGCATTTCACGCCATTCAGCTGATCAACATTTCAAAAATCAGTGTCTTACAAATTTCTAAATCCAGTAGTTGTTTCTTCCATTCTTTGTGATTTGTCAATATTCAGTACCATTGATTATAAAATACCTACCCCAAACAAACTTTTCTTCCTTGTGAAATACTCCATTCTAATTTTAGAAGGCAGCATAAGAATATATCACTAAGTAAATGATTGCCCAGAGGAAATCATTATACATGTTTCAGTACTCTTCCTTCTTCTGTATATATCTTTAATATAGTTGAGATTATATTACGTCCATAGGTTTTTTTTTTTCCCCTACTTCATGGCTTGTCAAAATTCTCACTTTCTTTAGGGAAAGGGAAGGATTTATTTTTATCTTGACAACTTGAAAATTTTGGGACAATAAATCATAGAGGCAGGCTGAAATGGTTATATCATCCCTTTACTCCTGTGCACAGGACTGTCATATTCCATACACAGGAATATCAGTCCCTGGAGCCCTGCAGTGCAGAGTTTAAAGACTGTATGAGTTGGCTCTTCCTGGCAATAAACTTCTCAGAAGACAGTTCATATCTTCCAGTTTGCTGGTGATAGTCTTTTTTTAATTTTTTCTTTCAATTTTCAAATAATTTTAGACTTAAAAGTTTCAAAAATAATACAGACAACTTAACAACTCCCTGTATATTTTTCCTACAGATTCACGAAATGGTAATATTTTGCCACATTTGCTTTATCATTACACACACACACTGTCTTATATGTAACACTGTGTATGATTTTACATACATGTTGTAATATGTGTATATATGTACGTATATATGTATCTTAATATATTGTCTGATGTTTCCTCATGATTAGATCCAGATTAATTTTGACAGAAATGCCATAGCAGTGATTCTGTTTTCTTCTTAGGGCATCCTCTCTGTAGACACATGATATCTACTTACTCAAAATTAACTGACAAAGTAATTTTGGTTACCTGTTAAAGGTGATGTCTGTTAGGTTCTGCACTGTTACTTGTCTCCCTTTGTAGTTAATTAGTTATCTTTTGGCAAGATACTTTGTCAATATGTAGATATCCTGTTTCTCATAAACTTTTAATCCCTAATTTAATATCCATTAATGATTCTTGCTTGACATAGTTACTATGATGGTAACAAAATTGTGATCATCTAATTCCATCATTCCATCTACACTTATTAGTTGGCATTCTGAGTTATCTTTATTCCATTTATTTTTACATTAAAAAAATCAATATAGATTTATGAATTTTTATTTTAATGTCTGTCATTTATTCTTATTTGTTATTTTGATGACAAAATTATCCCAGATTTAGTCAGTTGTTGCCCCCTCAAGCTGGCTCCTGTGTCTTATGAACATGTCTACATTTTTTGAGTCCTTCCTGATTTCAGGCAAGATGTCCCAGGCTTATCTTGTACTTTCCCAGACACATTTTTGGAATCAGCATTTCTCCAAGGAATCTGGTAGAGAAGGGTGCATAAAAATAAAAATCTTTGCATCAGATGTGTTTCTTTGGTTCTAGAATCTCAGTGGATAGAGCTAGGAAATAATTGGAATATATTTATATATACATATACCCACTCCCCCAACACACCTGTTTATTGATCTTTTAAAAGCCATACATCCATACTGATTCTGCCAATTATAACCTGACAACCCAAGTTTCATTTTAGCTTCCCACTTTCTACATTTGTAACTCGCTCTTTTTTGGGTCAGTGAAAAACCTGGGCCTTATTTCCCAGCATATATTGCTTGTTTTTACAGTATACATTTAATTTTAAAAATTGCTAACCTGTATCATTGCAAAAAATAATTACTTATTAACTGAAATTTAGCTATTTTTTAACTATGTGAAATATAACATGGCTCCAAAAGACAAAACTACATAAAAAGGTATACTCAGTTGTTTCCCTATCCTTCTATCCCATTTTCATCTCCCCATGTTTTCCACCCAATTTCTCTTTACCCCCCGTAGATAATGAACCCTATTAGATTCTTGTTTTCTGTGTTTCTTTTACTCACTTGAGAAAATGTATTTTTTCTTATTTGTATTTTGCTTTTTTCACTTAGCAGAGTATGTAAAAAATCACTTTGTCATCTCAAAGAGCTCTTCCTTATTTTTCAACAGGATACTCAACATTTTACAATTATAAACAATGCTATATGTAAATTTATGTACTTACTATTGGTTGTGTATTTTCAAGGTAAATTTCATGAAGTAGGATTTCTGAGTCAAAAGGTAAATGGATGTATAATTTTGTTAGATACTGCCAAATTCTCAAAAAAGTTGTACAGATTTGCATTCACTAGTAGTGTATGGTAGTGCTTGTTTTTTCACTGTCTTGCCAACAGGATGTATTTTCATACTTTTTATTTTTGCCTGTCTCATAGGTAAGAAATGATATCTTTGTGTGGTTTTAATTTACATTTTTCTAATTTTGAGTGACAGAAAATCCTCCAAGTATTTTCATTCAGTTTTTCAGTTGTCCTTTTACTTTATCGTATAGTGTTTTGTGATATATATATTTTTCTAAATTAGTCTTTTATTTACTGCTTCTGAATTTTGAGTCATAGGTATTAGAAAGCCTTTTGCTACATTAAGAGTATAAGGCAGTTCAGGTGGGATTATATAAGTATTGGAATGATTCTGAGCCCTACAATTAACATTATTCTATAAGAGATTAGGGTAGGTAATAGGGGAGTTATTTAAAACCCCTGACTCAAAAGTAGCAGCAGAGAAGCCGAGAATGTAAGTAGAAAGTAGTAGGGAAGAAAATAAACAGCTTTTTGTAGTTTCATGGCTCCATGTGGACCAAAATTCAGGGCCCTTCCAAGGCCTATCCTAGAGGAGGGAACTTGATAAATAACTGTAGCTTTGATTTTAGAACTCATGGGTAAAAAGGAGTAAAGATGAATCAGAAATAGGCCAAGTATTCACAAGGACTTAAACCCAGTTTTTAAAGATTTCAATCTGTGATTATATTAAGGTAGTCTTCACAAAGCAAAAATAAGCCTTCTCTGAAAGAAAATAGTATATAGAGCCTCACATTGTCTCTGCAAATTTTCATACATGATTTCTGGCACTCAGTAAAAGAACAGAAAAACTAATGTACGAAAAAAATAGTGATTGTCCAGATATTAAAAGGCAAAAACCAAACAGGCAATAGAAACAGAATTCCTAAGATCCAAATTCAGGTTATTAGAGGTGGACTTTAAACAAATGGGAATAAAAAATACAGGTAATTAGAAGATGGAAAATTTTATCAGATAACTGATATCTTTGAGAAGAATCAAATGGACATTCTAAGACTGAAATTATAACTGAAATTAATAAGTCACAGCTGAAGAGAATTAGAAATTTGAAAGATAGTTCAGAAGTCTGTCTTCAGATAAGCATGGAGAGACAAAAGGAAGGAAATTTTTTAAATGTTTAAGCAACACATGGGACACAAAATTATGACATGTGTAATGTATTCTGTGATGAGAGAGCAAGAGAGCAGTAATTGAGCAGAAGCGATATTTGAAGAGATAATCAAGAATTTTTAATAAAGCTAAGGAAAGATACCAACCCACAGATTGAAGAGGCACTTTGAACCTAAAGCAGGATAAATATTAAGAGAACCATACTCCTATATATTTCATAGGAAAACATCTGAAAACCAAAGAAGCGAAAAATATTAAAAGTAGCCAGAGAAAAAGTACATTATTTTTAGAATCATTAAGGAATCAAGTAAAAAAAAATAGTTGAATTTTCATCATAAATAATCAAAGGCAGAAGATAATGGGTGATATGCTGAAAGAAAATAATTACCAATATAGAAGTATATACATATAAGTCAAAGTGAAGGCAAAATAAATGTATTTTCAAACAAACGAATATGAGAAGAGTATTGTCAGCAGACCAGCACTAAAGGCCCTATCAAATGCAATTATTTCTTCGCCCTAAGGGAGATTATTTTGAAAGAAAATAACGGAGATGGAGGAAGAAGTGAAGGGCAAAGGAAAGTGTAAATATAATGAACATTGACTGTACAAAACAATATAGTGTCTGGAGGGGTTTAAGATAATAAAAAATAAAATATACCAAACCAGAAGCTCAAAAGTTGGGGTAGGGTTAAAGGAATCAAAGTATTCTAAGTGTACTTTCACTGTTTAATAAATGGTAAAGTTCTAGTTCATACTAGATTTTGACAAGTGCATCCTGTAATCACTAAGATAACTAACTAAATTAATAGCAAAGAGCATGTATGATTAATAATGAAATCGGGAAGAATGAAACAAAAAGAGAGAAAATGGAGCCTGTAAGAAGGAAACCTAAAGGAAAGCAAGTAGAAGGATAAGGGTAGATTTAACAGTAAGAGTAAGAAGTAGATTTAAAGCTATAATACCTGTGTTTGTAGAATTGTAAATGTGCACAATACCATAATTATTGGACAAAGACTATCAGCTTAGATTAAAACCAATAATAACAATAAAGCAATGTCATATTTCAAAAAAAACTAGCCATTTAGGGTGACAATGAAGTGATAAAAATTATGTCCTATGTCAACATGAACCAAACAAAATCTGTTACAGCTTTATTAATATTAATTAGAGTGGAGTTTAAGTCAAAGCCCATTAGTAGAGAAGGAAAGGAACATTTCATTATAAAACAAGATTCAATACTTAGGAAAATACAACATTCCTAAATCTGTCTCCACATACTAACTCAGTGAAAATTATGTAATATAAGCAGTTATAGACATGCCATAATGATAGGGATTTTTAACACAAGTAGAAGAAAGATAAGTGAGGATATTTTAAGATATAGCCAACTTGCTAAACATATTTGGTTTGATAGGCATATGTAGAACTCAGTAATGACAAACTGCATATATTCAGTTCAAGTGCATATGGGATACTTAACAGAATTGTTTGTAGGCTGAGCCTTAAAGCAAGTCTCAACATGTTTCAAAGGATTGAAATCACACAGGGGATATTTTCAGTTGATTTACACTGGAAATCAATAACAAAAAGATAACGAGAAAATCTCCCAATTTATGAGAGATTTCCCCATATTTTCCCATTTATTTTTATAAATTTAATTATAAAATAATTCATTGAAGGAGAAATCATAATGAAAATTAGAACATTTTGAACTAACTGGTCATGAAAATACAGAAGTGAAAAACTCATGGGATACTGCTAAAGATGTATTTAGAGGTAAAGTTATAATATTAACTACATTTTTAGGAAGGCATAAAGAAATTCAGGGATCACAACAGCATTAGTATAGTGTTTAAATCTTCCTGAAATCACAAAAAGAAATCATTTAAAGAATAAAACCAAAACCAAAACAAAGATATGCAAGAAAACTGAAGTGACATTTATCCCCACAGACCCCAAAAGACAAGTTGATGGGACAGCTCACTAATAAGATCAAGACTATAAGTATGACACTTGATTGGTGAAGTGGGGTGGAAGAACAGAAAGAAGTGAGGCAGTCAAAGAATGAGTTTGTTGAAAATCATTTAATGACTAGGCTTTTAATATACTCAAGTATTTCCTTATTAAACATGAAGGTTTAATTTTATATTTAGAAAATTTTAGTCTCCGTGTATGGAATATTCTCTTTCTGTATTCAGTATATGCAAAATGTCCAAATTATGAAAAGTATATTCGTTTTCTTAAAGAAAATTCCTAAAATCTTTATCTGACAAAATGTAGTTGTGATATTTCCAAAAAAATACTGATGTTCAATCTAGCCATATGTAGATTCTTTTGTAGATATTTGTATTTGGTTATATAATAAATATATAGAATGTACTTTTAAATTTTTCAATGTAACAAACTGGATTTTACTTTTCATTTTGAATACACTGGAAAATATTGTTAATGCCACTTACTAATTACTATTTTTCAATAAATTGCAGCTAAACATTTACCATTTTGGAGTTTAAAGTATGACATCATGGCAAAGTTTCGAAGAAGGACTTGCATCATTTTGTCACTTTTTATTCTATTTATTTTCTCTCTGATGATGGGTTTAAAAATGCTGAGACCAAATAAAGCTACTTTTAGAGTTCCTTTTGGACTTGACCTTCTCCCAGAAATTCGTCAAGAAACTCCTCATTTGGTGAAAACTTTTGATTCCCAAAAGAGTGACACAATCAACAGTGAAACAAACTTCAAGAATTTAAAAAGTGATGAAATCACTGTGAAACCTTCCAAAGCCTCTGAACCTAACACGGAAGAAAAGCCACCTCTGAATTATTTTTTACATGTATTTTATTATAGTTGGTATGGAAATCCACAATTTGATGGTAAATACATACATTGGAACCATCCAATCCTGAAGCACTGGGACCTTAGATTAACCAAGAATTACTCCCAAGGGAAACACAACCCCCCAGATGACATTGGCTCTAGCTTTTACCCTGAATTGGGAAGTTACAGCTCTCGGGATCCTTCTGTCATTGAAACTCACATGAAACAAATGTACTCAGCTTCAATTGGTAACTATTTTATATGTGTGTTTAGATATGTGTGTGCATGTATGCGAGTATGTATGTATATGTGTGTGAGTAGATGTATAAATAATTTTTTGTAGAACATTAGTTACTATTTAGTCTTCATTGTTTTAATTATAATTTTAAACTTGTTAAGCATCTTTTAACACTAATGTTAATTTTTTCTTTTATTATTTGTGCTTTTGGTGTCATATGCAAAATACTATTTCCAAGACCAGTGTCAAAGATCTGCCTTCCTATGTATACTTCAGGGAGTTTTTATGCCAAGTCTTACGTTTAAGTCTTTGATCCCTCTCAAGATTTCAAGGTGATTTTTGTGAGTAGGGTAGGATAGGTCCAACTGTCTTTTTCCACATACGGTTATTCAGTTTTCCCAGCGCCATTTGTTGAAGAGACTGTCCTTTCCCCGTAGGTGGTTCTTGGTTCCCTTGTCATGTATCAGTTGACTGTATATGGGGGTGGGGGTTATTTCTGGGCCCTCTATTCTGTTCCATTGATCTAAGTGCCTGTTTTTATGACATTCCCACTCCGTTTTAATTACTGTGGCTTCATAATAAGGCTTGAAATCAGGCAGTACGCTGCCTCCAGTTTTTTCTTTCCCATCATTGCATTGGCTGTTACGGGTCTTTTGTGCTTCCATACAGATTTGAGGATTGATTTTCTATTAATGTGAAGATGTATTGGAATTCTGATAGGGGTTGCATTGAATCTATAGATGGTTATGGGTAATATGGACATATTAACAATATTAACTCTTCTAATCCATATCATGGGATGTCATTGCATTTGTGTCTTTTCATTTCTTTCAGCAAAGTTTTGTAGTTTTCATTTTAAAGATCATTTCAGTTTCGTGGTTAAATTTATTCCTACGTATTTTATCATTTTTGATGCTCTTATGAATGAATAGGTTTTCTAAAATTTCTTTTCAGATGTTTCATTGTTATTGTATAGAAATGCAACTGATTTCTATGTATTGATTTTATATCCTGCAGCTTTACTGAACTCATTGATTAAACCCAACTGTTTTAGTTGAGTCTTTGTGATTTTCAACATATAAGGTTATATTATCTACGAATAGTGATGGTTTTACTTCTTCCATTTCTACTTGGTTGCCTTTTTTTGGTATTGATTGTTCTAGCTAGGACTTCCAGTATTATGTTGATTAAATAAGAGTGGTGACAGCACTCTTGTTCCTTGTCTTAAAGGAAAAACATTCCATTTTTCTCCATTGAGTATGATTTTGGCTATGGGTTTGTCATATATTGCCTTTATTATGTTGAGGTATGTTCTCTCTGTGAACAGTCCATTGAGAAATTTTATCATCAAAGAATGTTGTATTTTTTCAAATGCTTTTTCTGCATCTATGGAGATGAACATGTGGTTTTTATCTTTCATTCTGTTAATGTAATGTGTCACACTTACTGATTTGCCATTAATGTTGAACCATCCTTGAATCCCAGGGATAAATCTCACTTAGTCATGGTCTATAATCCCTTTAATGAGTTATTGAATTTAGTTTGCTAATATTTTGTTGAGAATTTTTACATCCGTATTCATGCTCTATAGTGTTCTATTCTTGTGGGGTCCTTATCTGGTTTTGATATCACGGTAATACCTCAAAGAATGAAGTAGGAAGTGTTCCCTCCTGTCCAACTTTCTGGAAAATTTTGAGAAAGATTGGCATTAATTCTTCTTTAAATGTATAGTAAAATTCAGCAGTGAAGCCATCTGATCCTGAGGTTTTCTGGATTGGGAGGTTTTTGTTTACTAGTTCATTGTCTTGGCTTGTTATTGATCTGTTCAGACTTTCTATTTCTTCCTGGTTCATTCTTACAAGGTTATATGATTCTAGGAAAGTATCTCTTCTAGGATATCTATTTTGTTGGCATTTATTTGTTTATAGTAGTCTCTTATGATTCTCTTTATTTCTATGTAATTTCTTTCATTTCTTACTTATTGAGTCATCTCTTGTTTTCTTAGTAGTCTTGTTAAAGATTTGTCAGTTTTATTTATCTTTCTGAAAACGAGCTCTTAGTTTTGTTGATTTTTCTGTTGCTTTTCTGGCCTCTATTTTACTTATTTCTGCTCTAACCTTTATTCCTTCCTTCCTTTCACTAACTTTGGGTTAAGTTTGTTGTTGTTCTAGTTCCTTGGGGCATAAAGTTAGGTTATTTGCAGTTTTTTCCCATTTTCTAATATACACATTTATCACTATAAACTTCCTTCTCAAAACTGCTTTTGCAGCATTCCAAAGGTTTTGGTGTGATTTGTTTTTATTTTCATTTGTTTAAAGATAATCTTTGATTCCCATTTTGATGTCTTCTTTGACCCGTTGTTCAGGAGTTTGTTTAGTTTCGATGTATTTGTAGATATCCCAGGTATTTTGATTGTTTTAAGCATAGCTATTCCAGCTTCCTTTTGGTTTCCACTTGCATGGAATATCCTTTAATCCCTTCACTTTGAGTGGATATACATCCTTAAAGCTTTCTTGTTGGCACCATACTGTTGGGTCTTACTTTTTTGTCCATCCAACCATTTATATGCCTTTTGATTGGTGAATTCAATCCATTTATATTTAGAGTTTTTGTTACTATGCAAGGATTTAAAGACTTACTAATGCCAACTTATTAATTGTATTCTGATTTTGTATTTCCATTATTTCCTCTTCTCTTTCCTTCTGCCTACATTTATAAATTATTTTCCATGGTGGTATGTTCTATTTCCCCCTTTTTGTCTTTTGTGGATCTGCTCCAGATTTTTGTTTTGTGGTTACCGAGGGGAGTTACATAAAACATCTTACAAATAAAATAGTCCAATTTAGGTTGATAGCAACTTATTTTTAACTTCCTCAAGTGTCTACCATTTTGTTCCTCCCGTTGTATTACTGATGTAACAATTTACCTCTAGTTGTATATTCATTAACAACTTAACAGTAGCTAGAATTATTTTTCCTACTTTCATTTAACCTTTGTACTATAATTGAATAGTTAACACATCCTACTACAGAGTTATAGTTTTCTAAGTCTGACTGTAAACTTCTTATCTTTATCAGCATATTTTGTATTTTTGTATATTTTCATGCAGCTGATTAGCCTGTTTTCATTGCAGCTTGAAGTCCTTTCAGCATTTCTTGCAAGGCAGGTATAATGGTGGTGAACTCCCTCAAATTTTGTCTGTCTGGGAAAGCCTTTACTGCTCCTTCATATCTATAGTATAATTTTGCTAGATAAAGTATTCTTGGCTGGCCATTTTTTATCTTTCAGCTCTTCAAATATGTCTTTCTACTGTCTCCTGGCCTGAAAAGTTTTTACAAAAAAATCTACTGATAGCCTAATAAGTGGTCCCTTGTAGCTTCCATTTTTTTTTAAAACCCCGTGCCTACCTATAATGTCTTTTTGCATTGAGATAATAGGATGTTCTATTAACTTTGTAGACTTGTATTCCCTCTTTTCTTCTATTATTTCAAAATTCCTATCCTCCAAGTTACTTTTTTTTTTCTTCCACATTGTCTACCCTGCTACATGGTCTCTATTGCATATTTCTGGTCATTCATTGAATTTTCAGCTCCAGTTTTTGTTTAGTTCTTTTAAAAATAATTTCCTTCTCTTTACTAAAGAATGATTTTGCTCATATATTTTATTCCTGATTTCATTGAATTGCTTTTTTGAGTTTTCTTGTAACTTGTTGAGTTCCTTCAGAACAGCTAGTCTGAATTCTTTATTAGTTACATTGTATATTCTGTACCTTCTAACTTGATTGTTGAAAAGTACTATTTTCTTTTTGGGATGCAGTATTTCCTTGATTTTTTATAGTTTTTGTGAATATATGTTGGTGCTGTCATATTTGAAGTAGTAGATACCTCCTTAACTCTGCTCATATCTTCAGCATACAACATATCTTTATATTGTTATTTGAGTTTTTTTCCCTGTGAATGTGTGCCTGCTCCAATGTACTTCTTACCTCTTATGGGCAAACTTTTAGGCTTTTATGTCTCCTTGGCTTTTTATATTTCACCAGGCTGACTGTTGGAAACCTCTTTTGTTTTCCAGAAAGTGGCTACTATAGCTCAAGTTTGTGGATTCTCACCTACCCACTGACTATAGTGGCTCATTTTCTTAGTGGGCTCCTAGTTTACCAGAGCACATTTTCAGAGGGTCACTCAGGAGTGAGCATGAGGATCCAGCAGCAAAGTCGGGGGAGATGTGGGCTTTATCATTGAGGTGCCTTGAGGGTACCCACAGACCTGGTTGAGAGATCTCTATGGGTGGTGTTCCAGTAGGCTGATAGGTGGACTTCCTGCTCAGCACTGTCCCTTTAATGCTATTTGAAATTCTGTTCTGCCTTTTTGCATCGTCCTCGCTGCCCTTAGTTGTAGAGCTCCCACCTTAGTAGTCTAGGAGCTGATGAAGAGAAATGGGTTTCTCCAGCCATATCCTGCCAGGATGGGGTAGCCTATTACACAGTGCTTCTTTTCCTCATGAGCGAGTGGTTGCCTGGATCCACTGGATAAATCAGCCTTTTCCAGTGTTTCCTCAGAGGAGGGGCAGCACCATTAGTTTCCCCTCTTTTTTTTTTTTTTTCTCGAAGTTTTTTGGGTTTTGTATGTTTGTTTGTTTGGCAGAGGGGAGGTAATTAGGTTTATTTGTTTATTTTTAGTTTAAGTACTGGGGATTGAACCCAGGACCTTGTGTATCCTAAGCATGCAAGCTACCACTTGAGCTATACCCTCCCTACCCCCCACTCCCTGCAAGTTTCCCTTACTTCCTTCTGTGTGACCAAATTCAGATCTTTCTTTTTTTAGTTTTTTTTCCCTCTAGTAGTGTTCAGGGAGGATCCTTTTGTGAAGGCTGGACTTATGCAAGTTTTCTTTTATTCATGAGTACCTGCCAGGGATAGTGTTCATTGGATTTCTTCCTGATAGTGGTGAGTGGGGTCTAGGCAGATATGCTGGCTCTGCTGGTGCTGCAGCTCTTAGGGAGCTGAATCTGTTTCTTACTTGC